AAAAGTCAATGTCGATCGATACCTGTCGACTTCTAAAGGCTCTCCTCAGGGTGTGAGAAGAAGAGAGGGGGGGCTTGGGGGCGTGCGTTAAAACCTTAGCTTCGAGGGATAAAAAAAATGTAAAAAATTATTGAGGGACCAAAAATGTGCGTTTCATAAAGTTGAGGGACTAAATTTAGCATTTAACCTATAAAAAAAGAAGCAACGGTGTCCTGGGTGAAGATAAAAGTAAATGTCGATCGATACCCGTCGAGATCGAAAAGCTCTCAGGCAAAATGAGAAGTAGAGAGGGAGGGGGTGCATAAAAACCCTAGCTGGCTTCGCTTTACTCACACCATCTTTAGAGTCATTATGGAACATCCAAACCAAGGAGGCGATAAAGCTTCGCAATTTCCTGGTAAAGCGATCTCATTAACGTATCCCTTTTTTTGTCTTAATTATAGTGTTATTTAAAGTCTTCAATTTCTCTCTTCCTCTTGTGTTCTAATTCGATGAAATTGAAAATTTTTTTCGAGTTCATTTCCTGATTAGTTATTTGATCTTTTACTTATTCACAGCGCCACCAAGTCCAGATTTTTTTGAAGGGCGTAAGTATTTATTGTCAATATTATTAACTATATATAGTTTTATAGAAAAATTATTTTTTTATTTGATTGTTTGCAGTTGAATTCCTGAATGAATCGAATTGGTTGAAGCTTCACAACCGTCAAACTTCGAATTTCGGCAATCGGTCTGTATCCGGAACAGAACAACCAGGTACGCAAAAGATTGGTTAAACTTGTAGAATGACACTGCTTCCTCTCCCATTTCAGTGAGCCTTAAAAAGGTTTTTCGTTATCCTGAGTATATAGCTCCCTAATTGTGCTTTTACCCTTTATAACCAACTCTCACCACTTTATGGAGAAAAACAGCGTTACACTGCAAATTTTTAACTTCAATCCAATCAATATATCTTTAGATTTTCTAAGCAATAATAGTTTTTCTTTAGTAAATTCGATGAATATGTCATATACACCTTACTGGATTCTCTGGTTTATATACTTTCAGCACCAGGAGCCCCTGACTTTGCTTATAATGAGATTCAGACTCTGTCAAGTCATGATAAGGAGTTAAACCAGCAACAATGTGACCAGTTCATTGTGGATACGCTTAAAATGGTACAGCTTCCGACAATGCCGTCACGCCCACCTGACGCGTCTTATTCCATGGATCAATTTGGTACACTGCCTGCATCCGGAACACAATTGCCGGAGAATCAAATGCCAGCTGGAATTCAGCCATTGATCCAGGAACAATTGGGTCCAGCTGCAGAAAAAGAACAGATAAAGCTTGAGAAAAAAAGAGCATGTGATCGAGCATACCGCCAAAAGAAAAAGGTAATTGAACAAGTATCTTTATTATTAGATTTTTACTCTCTGAGTGCGGTCTTTGTATTTTATTGTATGCTATATGGAATGTTCAGGATGAGGAACAGGAACTTAAGAATAAATGTCAGGAACTTGAGAATGCAAATCAGGTAATGGATCAGCTACTGAAGACATATGCAGCTCAAATGGAGGATAAATTGCAGAAGGAGCAACAGCACCTGGAGAAAATTGCCAAAGTTGAGGCTGAAAAAGAACTTGCGGAGAAAAAATGTCTTCTGTTGACTGAAAAAAAGAGTCAGCTGCGTCAAAAAGTGAAGGCCATGAAGAAAAAATATGTAAGTTTGATTTTCTTGTGGTACCATCATTCGAAACTTTGGGATTCGGATTTAACGGTTTTTGTGCTAATCATATCTTGTTCTGGTGTCTCTTTCAGAAAAACTTGAGAAAACAATGCATTGAGAAACCAAAGAAGAAACTGAAGAAACAGGTCATGATGGCAGAAACTTCAGAAGACACTAAAAACGGTATATTTTGAAATTACTTTAATCTTCTTCCTCTTTTTTCCATAACATTTTGTTAATTGATTTCCATTTTGCTTGCAGATAATTGAATGTCTAGGTTGCCTGATTTGGTTGGGCTATCATTACCTTGAGGTGAGCGAACCTCTTGTTTTTTCATTATTGCTAAACAGACATAGAGAGTGTAATGAAGTGCAATGAGGGCATTGTCTCGGGTTGTTTCACAACCTGACCTTTTTCTTTTAGTCATTGGGAGAAAAAAAAAAATTTTGTGAACTCGCCTCTTTATCATTAATTCTTTGTATCCATGTTTGATTGTTTGGTTTGATTTTGGTGCAGGTTTCCAATTTTATTGGTTACGAAGAGACATTCAGCTTGAGAATCATCTGAGAGTTGTGATTGAGTTCGATGTTTAGACTACGTGGTTTTCTGGATATGATTTCAACTCTGTGGGTTTTTATTGTATTGAGTAGTGGTTGAGTTCGATATTTAGATTGCTGCATGTGGTTTCAAACTCTCTGTGGATTGTTATTTTAATAATCTTGAACTTTGTGATAGATGGTGGTGCTATGATTTTAAGGATATTAGGAAACTTATAAATGTTGAACATTTTTATGTTGTTATTTCAAGTGTTTTGTGGAAATTTTTGTTGATGTCGATTTTGTCATGTGTTTGATCCAACTGATTTACTTTGAACCATATATGTTGAATTTCGATTGTAGTAAATTAGTAACGAGGTAGGGGGATATAATGATTGAGCACAAGATGGTATACGTTAATACTTGTAAAAAATGTCGAAGAGGCCTTGCGTAGTGGGGTTTAGGTTTGAATGTAGTAGATGTTTCCTCAAAAATCCTCTAGTGGCCTCGCACGTGTGAAATCTGATGCGGGCGTGCCACTTACTTTGCTGAAAGTAAGAAAGGAGGACTTTCCCAACGACCCTCTCCTTCCTTACGGTCGACCTCTTCGCAGATGGCGGGAAGAACGTTGAATTAAAATGAAATTTGCGCCTTCAGACGATTTGCAAGAGGGAGGGATACCTTCCTGCAGAATGGGTTGCGAAATCTGCCTTGGACAACTCCAAGGACTTAAACACTACC